TTCAGTCAATTTGGCAAAGTAGGGTCATAATAGTACCATGTTTACCCTGCTTACAACTTCAGACACAGTGTTGCAATTGGGCTTACAATTTGGATTCAAAATGCCAAACAAAATACATTAAGTTGTTTAAAACAGAGTTATTAGTGGGGCGCTATCATATCACAAGATCTGTTTAAAAAATATTTTCCACTGACAATCCCAAAGATTGGAACCAGCTGAAGAACCAGCCTCACACCACAATAATCACTTCTCAATTAAAGAAGGTGAGTTCTTGTTAGTGTTCTTAGTGATTCTACTTTGAAACAAATACTTTTCACTGCTCTCATTTCAGATTACTGGATCTTGCTTAAAGAATTTCTTGAACTTGCAAGCCAACTTTTTGTGTTTTTTTTTTTTAACTCTGATAATTTGCAGCTACTCATCTAGATCAATAAAGAATATTTTGACACTCTGCAACCAAAGGTGAACTCCATTAGATGTTTTTTCTCTAGCAATGATTTGGTACACCATGCTTTGTGTTATTAGTTATTTTTATTTATGTGGTCCTGTGGATCTTTTACTACATGGGACATATTACATCTGAGGATAGGAACTAGGTTCTATAATTTTCTGTATACATTGGAAACATATGGTACCTGGAAATGTTGATGCCCTCTTGCCATGGTAGGGGAAGCCAGTGGAGGCAAAACAGACACACTAAGAATAGTTACAGTGAAGAAAATGATAGAACCTGGGTCCTTGATACCACTTTTCAAAGAACTGATCATATCATTCCTGATGGCGCTGCCCAATAATTAGGCATTCAGATTTATGCAATAATATTAATACATTTTTGTGGCGTTTATGACAGCTTGAATATGGATTCTCTGATAGAATTGAAGTCATCTAAATACTGATGCAGTATTATTATCCCTCTTTTACAGAAGAGAAAACTGAAGTTTACAGAGAGTAAGTTGCTCAAGGTTACACAGTCAAGGAAGTAGCAAACTGAAGATATGAAGTTGAATTTTGGAGCTCTAATAGTGCAATTGGTTAGTGTGCGGTACTTATATGAAGTTGAGTCTTTCTGTCTACAGCTAGGCTCACTCCATGCCCTCGCCCCAAACACACACTATCACCCACTTAACAGAACTCTTTCCCCATTCTTGTTATTAATGCTGTCTTCTTTCTTGCTATAGTATTCTTTTTGCTGGCCTTTTTTTCTCAAAGGAAGAAGTGCCCTTTCCTCCCTATGGCTAGGTTAGCCTGGCCCCTTATGACCTGCTCTTATCCTCTCTGCCTTCTTTAGGACTTTGCCCTATCAGTCATTCTGGCTCTTGAATTGTCAATTTCTTCTTTTCATTTCAGCATATGAATAAATTCATGTCAGGCCTAATCCCCATCCTTTCTCTCAATCCTGATAACTCTTTAAATGACTCTCTCCTTGATTACATTTACCAAGAGACTTCTAGAAAATGCAGCCTATATTTGATGTTTCCACTAATTTCCTCCTAATTGAAATTGCTGTCTGAGAAATCTGGGAGAGGGAAGAGGCATTGCAAGCCTCCCTACCCAAAGGAGGAGGGGATGGTATTATGATGTGTCACAGACTCTATTCCTGGTTGGGTCATGGTTATTAGTGAGCAGGGTCAATGTCTGTTAAAACACCTCATGCTGTCTTGTGCTTCTTGCTCCCTGACTTCCTATAGTAGCAGATCAATACAGGGCATGGGCCACTGGGGCATGCGGACCATCTTTTCTTATCTCCTTCATCCTGTCTGGTAACTAGCCGTCTCTTTCCTCCTTCTCCTCCTTAGAGCAAGTCAAAAGAAAGGCAAGATTTTGAAGGAAGTACTAAGCACTTAGGCACCTCTTCTACCTTGTAACTAAGCCATAAAGCACACACTAGGATATTTACTTATGGTAACTCAAATTTGTTGGTTTTATTGGCAGCATTTATTAATATTTACCTATTTTCTGGCAAAAGAGTACAGCATATTTATTATGGGAACACCCCCTACAATCTCAGCCCATGTGATTTACCTCCACTCACAGCTCACAATGTGGGCGTTGATTAGCCCCAACCTGGTCATCTAACTCCAATCTCCCCGTCACAGTAATTGGGTCAGGAATGGGCACAATAATTGGCAGATCCAATTAGATACAATAAGAAGCTTGCTGGGGCCTCAGAGAAAGAGGTCTCTTTTCTGTGCCCTCAGACATGAGTGGGAAAGAATATAGAGCTTGGAGCTTGCTGTAGCCATTTGGAGTTTGAGAATGGACCCTAAGAAGCAAGAAACAGAGTGAAAAGATGGATGTCTTTGTGGTATCCTGGTTTTTGAATTCTGTATTCACTTGCACTTGAAGCCAACTTATTGCAGATTTTTCAGAGACAAGAGCCAATACATCCTCCCTGGCCTCACTATTTTGGTCTAAACCAGTTTGATTTGGGTTTTCTATCTCTTGCAAGCTGAACAATACAAAAATAAAACAACCTCCATACATTTTTCTGTATACATACACATACATGCACAGAGAAAGTTCTAGAAAGATACAGTTCAAAGTGGTAGAAGTGTTTATTGCTGGGGAACGTGGTCTGTTATGGTGGGAAAGGTGATTGAGAAGAGACTTTTGTGTTACCTTTATTTTTAGCCTGTTTTACTACAAGGATGCATTACTCATGTAATTAAAAATAAACATCCAATAAACATGAAGAAAACACTCTGCTACCAACCCCACCACCCCCTCCCAACAACAACAACTTCTATTGAATTAATTACTAATATCTTTGCCTGATATTCATTATGTGTAGCAGTATAGCTAAAACCTCTCTCTCTCCTTTCCCTTTTCTTTGGTAGGTCCTTAGTATTCCTGGAGGTTGTAAAACAAATGTCCTTAAAACTGGAACTATAGAACTCACTTTGCAAACCAATAATGATATTTATAATTTACCCTGTACTGCAATTAATTATATTTCAAAAACACTTTCACACTTACTCTAATCAGTGAGTAGTTACTGCACCATTATCTGCTCTACAAATGAGAAAAAAACAAGGCACAAGCTAAGCTAGTGGTTTGTGGAAAGTTCTACAGTAAAACAATGGTGGTGATGATGCTAATATCTTTTGACTCTCAGCCCATGTGCTTTCCATTTTACCATAATCCACAGCTGGGGCAGGCTTAAGGGAACTCCATTTTAGACTCACGCTCTAATGCTAAATTGAACTTGGCTCCCTTCAAGGGCCAAGACGAACTCTGCTTAACTCTCTGATGCCTTTTTTTTCATGTCACATTTCTTTTCAGATGTAACCTGACTGCAGGTATATAAATGCCCTGAACATTTGAAAAACAGAACCATTTTTAAATAGTTTAGTGTTCTCCAACCCAAAGGCTGAATTTCCAGTAAGGTATGTTCAGGAGCCAAGGTGCTCACTACACCAGCTGGGATGAAAAATCCCTTTGTTTCATCTCAGCAAGAAGGAACTGTCACAGCACCAGCCTTTTTGGGGAGCCTTTCTCTTCGGAAGTCATGTGAATTAGCTCACCAGCAGGGGACGCAGTTTTACTATACAGCAGTATGAAGGGAAAAAGGCGCGCTCCCACCTGAATCTTTTCTGAGGTCTGAATATTAGAGTGTTCACTGCTTCAGAGCTAAAGGCTCTCTCTGTTTAACTGATCCCTAGAAAGGACAGTAAAGGCTTGCTTTAAAGCTACACAATAAAGTTAAATTTAAACAGTTAAGCTATCTGAGTTCATTACTTTATTTTTCCTTGTTGCTGGGAAGGAAAGTGCTATATTATGGAGATAATCATGACTGATAATCCAAATGAAAGCAATTTTGACAAATTCTACCATATCTTTATTGAAACAGGGATTTCAAAATCCTTTTCTTTAAAAGGAAAAAGTTTTAGACTGCATGAAAAATAGGTTCCGGGCTAAGAAAACTTTTGTTAAATTAAGGGAAATAAAAGAGCACTGAAATTGTAGGAATAGAATCCTATGAAACTTTATCTCCAGCTCTCAGCCTGGAAAATGAAAGCAAATCAGAGGGACAAAGTCATCTTTCTCTCCTGAAGTGGAACTATATAAAGTAATTTACAAAATATTTAAATCAAAGGGAGAAAAAAAAACCCAAACCAACCAACAACTGGGAATTAACAGTTAAATAAAAAGTTGGTCACAAATAACATCTTCTTTGCTTTATTTCAGGAAAATTAGGCAATTAAAGTAGCTCCTCGTGGAGGCAACAGTGGAGATTTCTCAGGGGAGAAGATACCCTTGCTTTTGGTTACCAAGCTCGGGGAGGGAGGGGGAGATTGTCTATCAAACCCCAACTCAGAGTCTTGGGTTTTCTTTCAACCAGTGGGAACCTGGTTACACAAGAGTGGAATGTACATATGTGAACTTTCTTTAAGAGATCAGGGATCCGTGGAAGGAGGTTTGAGATTTACCTGGGGAGAGATGTTATCTCTGTCCTCAAAGAATCAAGATGTACCATGCCTTTAAAACAAGCATAAATCGAGGAGGGACTGGCAATGAGAAAGGAAACTAGTTATGGAAATGGGAGAACACAGTCCTGAATTGCTCCAGAACAAACACATTTAATACCAGGGAAGTAGACCACACTAGCTAATGTCACAATACTATAAAAGGAAGGGTATGTGCCACACTGGTGTATTTTTTTCCCAGGCCCTTCCCAGCCCTATCTCCAGGCTGTTGGAAGGCGAGTCAGGCTGGTTGAGGGGCTCTCTCCCTGCCCTCCAAACCGTTCCCGGCATTCCCACGTTGTCTTGCTTCCTCGCTACAGGGTTAGTTCAGTCCAGCTGGCAGAGTAAATTTTACACAGGTGCCAGAGCCCTACAGGAAGCAGCCTAGGTCAGAGGTCACACCCCACCAGGAGGGTGGGGTTTAGGAGTCAGGGGGTTGGGCTGAGCCTGGCCCCGCCCGCGAAGGGGTGGAGCGTCCCGCCGGCCCCGCCCCGCCGGCCAGGGGCTGCACGTGACCCGCGGCCCCGCCTCCCGCCGGCTCCGCAGCGCCAGCTCGGCAGGCGCGGGGCGTGAGTCTGGAGTGAGACCCGCCAGGCTCCAACTCCGCAGCGCCGGAGCGCGGCGGGCAGCAACTTTCTCCCCGGAGCGGCCGTGGCGGCGGGAGCGGAAGCCGGGAGGAGGAAGGCGGCGGCTGTGGCTCCCGCCGGCTCGGGCTGCCTAGCTAGCCGAGACTGCCGGCCCGCGTAGCCACGTCCCCCCCGGGGAGCCCCGGGCCCCTGCCCTATGTCCCGCAAGGCGAGCGAGAATGTGGAGTACACGCTGCGGAGCCTGAGCAGCCTCATGGGCGAGCGGCGCAGGAAGCAGCAGGAGCCCGACGCTGCGAGCGCGGCCGGGGAGCGCAGCCTGCTGGCGGCCGCCGAGTCGAGCAGCAGCCTGCAGAGCGCGGGCGCGGGCGGCGGCGGCGTCGGGGACCTGGAGCGCGCGGCGCGGCGGCAGTTCCAGCAGGACGAGACCCCCGCCTTCGTGTACGTGGTGGCCGTCTTCTCCGCGCTCGGCGGCTTCCTGTTTGGCTATGACACCGGCGTGGTGTCGGGGGCCATGCTGCTGCTCAAGCGGCAGCTCAGCCTGGACGCGCTGTGGCAGGAGCTGCTCGTGTCCAGCACGGTGGGGGCGGCCGCCGTCTCGGCGCTGGCTGGCGGCGCCCTCAACGGCGTCTTCGGCCGCCGCGCCGCCATCCTCCTGGCCAGCGCGCTCTTCACCGCCGGCTCCGCCGTGCTGGCCGCCGCCAACAACAAGGAGACGCTGCTCGCCGGCCGCCTGGTCGTGGGGCTCGGCATCGGTGAGTGCGGGCTCCGCGAGGGGCGCCCGGACCTCGGGGTCGCCGCCCTGCGCGCCGGGGGTTGCGTTCCTTTTGCGCCTCCGGGGTCCCCGTCGGTTCTCGCCAGGTCCAGAGCATCCTCCACTGACCTGGTCTCCAGAGTCTGTCTGTTAGTCCAGCCTCAAAGGCTCACCTGGGAGGTGCGGGTGGGGGTGTCGCTGTCCCTGTCTCGAGCCCACGTGGAATCTTTGGTCGCCCACGGGCAAGTCAGTCCTCATGATTGTTGCCTCTAAGCACTTCCAGGAACCCAGCTGATGCAGCTCTCCCCTTGATCCAGCTTAACCTGATACCGCTTCTTGAGTTTAGGAGGGTCTCTCCTGCACTGTCCCACTTTGTTTCTCCACTGCTAGCCCTTTTCCTTTCCTAGAGTTCCCAGCCTGGCACCCATTCAGTTGCAAAGTCACAATAAGATAATTTTTAGAGTTCAGTTTTAGATAACTGTTGTGTGCTTCCCCTTTCCCTCTTTCCTTCTCTAGTCGTTTAGATGGCATCTCCTTTTGCTTCCGTGCTTTTGTATTGCCTCTCTCTCGACTTTTATCCTTTTCCCAAGTGAATTCCATTCTTCTCTATTTTTCTTAACTTTTTCCTTTAAATCCATATTCACCCATTCTCCTCTTTGTTCTGCCTCTCCTGCCTTCCAGTTAGGAACCAAATTATCTATTAAAGGTCATGTTCACTTCCTAAATTCATTTAGGAGCTACTCCCCTGTGGATAAATGCCCAGCAAGATAGATGTTTGCAATTTACTTCAAAAATGAAGGCGTTAAGGTTCCCCAGCATTAATTTTTTTTTTTTCACCCGGGTTGCTGAGCAGGGGAGGTACAATTGGCAAGTTCTTGGCAGAGGAAAGCTATTTGGAATGTGCTCAGTATTATTAGAAAGCACTTTTGAGGGAAAGTGGGGGGTTGTGACTTAAATCTCACTAGTAATTTTTCTAAGACACACCGCTGATGCTTTTTTAATGTTTCATTTCATAATTCAGTTTTTTGTTTCCCTTAGGGTGCTGTTGAAGTATTTTCTTCTCTTTGGCTGGGGCTTGATGAAAGCACTTTAAACCCAGGGCTGCTGCTGATCTGTGCATTCACTACTTATTTGATGTGTGTGCTTTTTACCCTTTCTCTGTGGGTTCCAAAGGGAAGCAAACGTCATTTATTCAACTCCACATGTGGGAATCATGAGCCTGACACCCAGCTCACTGCCCTTTGTATCCAAGTCTGTCATTACTGACCTTCCTTTTGCTTGTTTATTGTGCTATTAATTCGTGAAACAAGACAAGGCTCTCAGTACAATGTTAAGCTGGCACATTAAAGTCCAATGTGACCAAAAAAATCCCACTGAAATGAAATCTTTGTATGGAAACTACCTGTGCCTTCAGAACCCTTCAACAAATAACCTGCTTTTAAAGTCACATGACCAGGATTCTTTTCTCAGCATTCTCTGCTTGGGACACCTAGATCTTTTTCTTCTTTCTGACATAGAGATAACATAATTTTAGGTAGCAAGATTTGTTCAGTAAACCTGAATCTTGTGATTTTTGAAATTGAGTAATGTTTTGCAGAGATCTTTAAAGGAAGTGTGGAACTATGGCAAGTATGGGATAAAAATTTGGGTATTATGTTTAGTCTTTTATTTGACATGAAAATTGAGACCTTGTAAGTTCCCCTTCCAGCTGCTGTGGGCAGAGCAGGGAGGGGAGTTTATACTGCAGAAAGCATAGCAAGGTGGGACTAAAGGGAGCTTGAGCTTGCTGAGCTCCAAAAGAGAGGCTTTTAGAAATGACCGATGAATTCAGAGAGGGTACGGTTTTTCCTGGCAGAGGGAAGCCAGAAGCTCATGCGCATGGGAATGGTATTTTGACACTTGAGGAATATTTTAACAGAAATGAGGAAAGGACCTTCTAAGTAAGAGAATCAGTCAAGAAAGGAAAGCATAGGGCATGCTTGGGGAACAAGGTGGATGCAATAAAGAGGTTGAAGCAGGAGATAAGATTGGAAATGTTGTCTTGCAGCTCATTCTTTGCTCTCTGGGCTGGTTGGCTGAACATCCAGTTTGAATGCTGGGAGTGATTCAGTCCTGATATGGCCCATCTCACTTTTGGAAGACACACCCTTGGGAATGAGAGTCTTTTGAGGCAAGGTACTGTAAAAGCCCTTGTCATTCACAAAATGAAGAATGTTTTAAGGTCATAAACAGGCTTTGAAATGGGTCACATTCAAAACCAAACACAAAAAACTTCACTCCAAATTAGAGTCTATGCAAAGCTTGTAACTGTACATGTAAAATCCTTAAAGCTCACAAAGATGACTAGCCTTCTAAAAGAGAAGTCATGAGAATTTTTTTTAGCTACAAGGAAATGGGTCCCTAACGTGAGCATTTTTGAGGAACACTAAAGCAGTTTTGCTTGTTTAGTACACTAAATCTGGGTTAATTTCTTGCTGTCTTTTTTTCCAGTGGTTAACTTTTATGTGTGGTCAGGGGTTTGTTGTTTTTGTCCTTGCGATATGTAGTAACTGTTGATGAGTAGCAAAATATGGCTTCTGATGCCTTTTTTAGCCAAGTTTGTTGTGATAGCTTCTTTCCTCCACAGATTTACCTGTGGTCAATATAAGGCCCATAGGGGCAGGGATTTTGGTTAATTTTGTTCACTGAGTATTCCTGGCACACAGGAGACACTTTTTGAATAAAGGAGTGAATAGTGAGAAGAAACACTAAAAAAATAATTCTGTTGCTAGTAGGCTTCCACTTTAAGTTCAGATTGTTCTTTTCAAAAAACAAAGGAGTGCATTATCAAAATATTTGAAAGGCCATCTAAGTGTTTTAGCTGTAATAGTTTAATGGAATCATTTATCTATTTAACAAATGCTAATTGAACTTCCGTTAATGATTCTGTCAGATTTGGGGTAGGCAGTAATTAGATAGATAAAAATCCCACCCTGTATGTGTGTTAATTCTATAATAGAGCAAAAGGCACATAAACAAGCAATTAAAGTAAAATGGAAGTTTGTGCAGGATACCAAAGGAAGCACATGGGCAACTTAGTAGTTTAGGGGAAATAAATTGAGCACAGAATTAAGGAAGGCTTTACAGAAACAGGGACATTTAAACTAGGGTTTGAAGGGTGAGTAGGGGTTCAGCACATGATGCTGACAAAGACAGGAAAGTGCTTATTTAGTGCTTTAGTATGTACTAGGCACAGTGGTAGTATTTTATATTGCATATATAGTATTATGAAATGTATATTATCTCATTTAATCGTCCTAACTTTGTGAAGCAAGTCTCCTCTTGCTGGATGCGGAAACAGTTGACAGCAGTTACATGGCAAGGTCATGGATAAACTCAGGATTAAAAAAACAAAACCTTGAGAGTTTTTTCTCTTTCTATTATCATGCTGGGCATTTAAGGTGAAGCTAACAGCAGGTGGCAAGGCACAGAAAAATCAAAGCAGTGTTTGAAGCATAGGTGAGTGGAGGGTGGTGATGGGAGGTGGTTATGAGGTCGGAATGTTTTGGGGAGAGGGTCAGGCTGAATAGGGTGTATTTGGCCCTGCCTGTACAGGGCCTTTGGAGGTTTTTAACTGTAAATGATGTAATCAGATTAAATATCCCTTGAATCTGATCTGATTTTCTTTAGTTTTTAAATTTTTTTCTTTCCTTTTCTCATTCTTTCTTTCTTTTCATTCTTTTCTTCTTCTTCTTCTTCTTTTTTTTTTGCTTTTCCCCTTCTTCTTTTCAGCCCTTTTACCTACTTCCCCAAACCTTCCTGCTTCTTTGAATTTTTTAGTGTTAGGAATTCTTTGCTGAGATGGCCAGTGCTGGGTGAGTAAAGCATAGCATGTGGCCATGAATTACTGACAGGGAAGAGACAGAAACCTTTGAAAAAGATGAAGATATCAGCAGTAGAGTGTAGGTGTTAACGTGTGTCAAGTGAGTCATATGGTGAAAGACAGAAACATCAGAAATCCAGGATATTTGTATTTATTTTGGTTTAAGAGTTCGGTTGCCTTGACTAGTTGTAACACACTTAGTTTATTGGCCGCCTGTTGTAAATAGGGCATTATTTTAGGTTTTTGTTTCACCAGAGGCTCCTTTGTTTCCTCTTGTTTGTTTTGATCTTATACTTCAGTCCTGAGACCAGACTTTCTTCGTTGTCTCCACTTGCTACTATCACCACCTGAACTTTTAAAAATTGAAGACCCAAATTTCAAATAGGACACAAAGTTTGCATCTGAGAGATTATTGTATTCTAATGGAGTTAATCTTATTTTGTATGTTCTTTACACATATAATACTGTGTTTAGCAGTATTGTTCTTATAATCAAGGTTTTAGGTATGCTTACTTAAAATAGGATTGAGGGAATGTGAGTTTGTTCAAATTTTCTTTTTCTTTTTTTTTATTATTTTCTGTGACCATGTATATTTCCCATGCATAACAAACCAGAAATTGTCTAGAAAAGGCAAATTACAAGAGCATAGTACTGTTACCACTATTAGCAATCAATGAAAAAGCATACAGATCAGCCCATGGTTTTGGCATTTACTGTTCATTATAAGTGGAGATTTAGTGCCTGCATAGGGCATATCAAGAATTCTGTATATTCTGTTATTCACCAATATTCAAAACCTTTACTGCAAATTGACATGTTAATTTATACAGCACTGGACTTGTTGAATTAATCTTAGATTTACATCAGTTTCTCCTCTGTCAGCCTCTGTTTCATTACTCCCTCTGCTGGAACACAATTTGTAGCTGCATAATTGGTATGTTATGGCTTGTTGAGTAATACTTTTAGAAACACCACATTTTTTTCAAATGGCACACGGAATTCTTATTCTTCAATGCAAAGCAAATGTAAAATCTTGTTTGATCAAAAAATCATGCAATATTGAGATTAATGTCCATAAAGTATTTCATTTAAGGTAAGCATAGTTAGCCAGAAGCAGCCAGATTTTCAAATAGTCAGTT